TTGAATTTTTTTAAACATAGATCTTCAAAAGCTCTATGAATAAATCTATACCGCAAAACAAAAACAAATACTTCTAAACATTTTTATCATGCTCAATTTAATCGAAAGTAGCTATATCTAAGATCATTCTTCAATTTCCAAAATATCGTTTAAATTACTACTCTCGAGAATGAAGTAACCAAAAGATATTTCTATATAATAAAATATGAATCAACACTATCATAGTGAAGATCATTGAAAGAATTAGATCAGATAATTTCTGAAAAAAAAAGAACAAATCAATTCTATTGAAATCTTCTTAATTACGATTATTCAAATTCATCAAATAATAAATAATATAAATTTTCTGTTTTATTTTTCATCTTGAAAAAAAAACAACTGAATAGAATAATTTATATTTAATAAATTAAAAAATTAAAAAAAACATTCATTTTTTTTAATTTAATTTCAAAATTTATTTTGTCAAAGTACAGACAAAAAAAAGGAAATGAAGCGATAGCGTCAATGTCACGTATAATTTATTCTCTTAATTGTTTGATGTGTGACAAATAATAAATAAGGGATAAATGCTTGATATTGTTCGAATGATCGATGTCAGGATTTAAACAAATATTCATATGACGATAATGAAACAGTCACCGGATAGAAAAAAAAAGAAAAGAAAAACTCGAGAAGGAAAACTAATAATAATAATATTAATAAAACAACACACACATCACAAATTGGTCAGGTCATGTATATCAAAAGAACAATCTCCAAATGTCGTTCGCTGAAAATCAAGTATTACTTCAACATCTAAATCAAATGCTGAACTTGGAATTGGATTTTGTAAATTATTTGGTATTTCTAAATCCATTGATGATGCTTGTGATATTTGATTAAATAAAAGATTTGTTGATGGTGATGGAATTAATGGTGATGTTGAAAGAATTTTTCGTCTATCATTATTACTGTTTACTTTTGATTTATTCATTCGATGACGTATTATCACAACAATCATTCGACGAAATAATGGACTTTGAACGATCCATTGTTTTTAATTGTTTACTTAATTTTGATGATATCATTTGATCGATTTCATAATTACTATGAGATGATGATGGAGATTGTGAACTAATTGATGAAGATTTTGATAACGATGAATATGTAATATCAATTCCTGAAAATAAAATAAACTTTGAAAATAAAAACAAAATCTGAATTAAAACTATTGCTATTATTATTTAATGTCGATGGAGGAGAATGATTTGAGCATATCATGTTATTTATTTGGCATTTGTTGTGTTGACGATGCATATGATTAATCTTGAGAATTATTTTGTAAAAGATTATATAAATTTTTATTCATATCTCTAACAGATATAAATGATCATTGAGTTGATATTGTTGATGTTGAAAATAAAACGTTTAGTGATGATGAGATTTGTTCATTTGAAAACATACTGCAACCAATTCATTTGTTAATAGTGGCAACAGTAGACATGAAATGAAAATATATTCAACTTTGAGTAGTTTTTAAAACTCTATAAAATAGACCTTAATTCAACGCTGAAATAGATTTTGTAAAGATTTATATAGATTCTAGTTGCTTCTGAAAGTAAATTCTATTTTTAAAAACTTGAATGAATGTTTATAATCGGATGGATCAGTCTCTCTTTCAACTCTGGCACTATATGTATATAATATTTTTCATAAAATACAATTGTATGATACATGAATTATTTAATGACTGACTATCATTTATTTTATTTCAAAAACAAAACAAACTTAAACACTACATCTGTAACATAAAGATTGAGTCAACAACAATATTTGACAAAAGGACTATTAACACAAAAATTGACTAATATTAAACTTTACAAGATTAAAAAGAAAATTTACAATATAAATTCAATTTTTATATACAGTTATATTTATTTCAGCAAATCATTGAGAACTGCATATATAAGAAAATATAGATACACGTTAATTTATTTATTGTTCAATGAATTGATCTATTCAAATGTGTCCATTTGTTTACTGAAGATAAAGTTTTGCTTGATTGTCATGTGATGTTGATGACGAAGAAAGTCGAAAAAGACGCGAAAGAAATAGAAATAGATCGTTTTCTTTAATAACCGAAAAGATATTTCTAAATGGTTAGCAGATTCAATCTGAGACCATTAGTGTCTATCAGACTTCGATGAGCCATCGCAATATTAGATGAAAACCATTATCGAAATCCTAATTAACAAGATAAACTAGTGCTTCAACCGACATTTATTGTTGATAATAATATACGTCAACTTTTCTTATCATTCTGTCCCATTATTTATCATATACGATGTTTTCCACAGCAACTAAGAATACTATCATATTACCACCTATCGACTGTAAAGTACACTTTTTCTTGAGTCGGATCCATACGGACCCCCATCTCAGTTTTCAAGTATAGAGAGAAAAAATTTCCATCAACCTGTGCAGTAAATGTGAGTAATATTTGCGGAAGATTATTAGAAATAGAATTTAAAAAGAAGTCCGCCTTTTCGTACTATTTTCTCGTAACTAAAATTATTCAGCGATTTCAACTAGTCTTTAAAAGTTTCAGAATACATTTTACAATGAAAGAGAATATTCTAAAAAATTCTGATATGATGATACTAAAATCGAGTTCAATTCACTTTTCACACTCATAACATAAGATAGAACCTTCTACGTAGAATATTTTCTAGAGCTAGACGAATGCATGAAATACTATGTATTGAAACGATATCTCAACAATAATATATATGTAATTAGTTCTACTCTATGGGATCTGAGCGGATCCCAAACGACGAAAACACATTGATGCGTACTTCTAGTTTTTTTTTATCATATTGACGATGTAAGAATCGAAGACGCTTATATAATCAATATACCCATCTAACTTTCATTAATGCAATCAAACAATGAGAAGAAGAAATATTGACATAATTATCATGATGAACTTTTTCATACAAGATTTTCATCGACAATTTTAGCCACTATAACTTAAATTCAATAATTGGCACTCAGATCAAAAACCACCGATCAGAGTCGATCATATAACTAGAAAATCGAAGGAATCGTCTTAAAATTTGTTCAAATCCAACAGGAATACGAGGTCCAGAATCGTTCGATCTGGACAAGCATTGATAGTCTATCTAGACTAAGGCATCTTACATGAGGAAATTGAGAATATAAGAAAAAAAAATCAAGATATTTTCTTTCGTTCAACAATTTTCTATGAAATAATTAATGCTGATCAACAAGTTTTGTGTTCTTTCTCAAAGAGCACAAGAGAAATCTATCTTCGACAGAAATTCTCGTGATACAATACCAATTAACTTGTCAAAAGTTGACTGGTGGTCTCTAATACTATCTGCATTTTAGGATGACAGAAAAGTTTATTTGAAATAAAAATTTTAGAGTGTATTACAGAAATTTAGCTCATAGAAGGTAAAACAGATGAGATTTTCTAATGGCTGGCTACAACGAAAAAAAAATTTCAATAAATGTGCTAATGAATGAATGATATACACGAACATTGACTTGAAATAGATCTCGTCGTTGACGATATTTCCACTCATACAGTTCTTCATAACGTAGAACTGATATATTTCTGTTAGTTCAAATGAAATTAATGCGACTAACTTAACGTAAATGTGATTCCATATGCTAAGGTGATACTTGTCAACAGTTGTCTCTTGTTCATCTTATTAGTTAACGCATCTTCACATCGACGATTAAAAACAAGAAAAAGATTGAAGAGGCAACAAAATTTAGTTCAATTATTTTTCACTCTTTCTCACAATTTTTCTTTCGCCAGAAATTATCTATTGACTTTACCGTGTATATTGAATTTCGTCTGCCGGTCAATTCATGTCCGGTTCACACGTTGATTTGACGGCATAGTCAGAAAAGAGAGAGAGAGAGAGATAGAAATGGAGTGACTATTTGTTCAACGCGAAAATGAAATGGAGCACACTGGAATAATAGACAATAACAATGTGCTACTTCTTATTCATTATATTGAATTAGGCAGAAGTGTTGATGTTGTGTTGAAATCGGTGTTTTCAATACCTAGACTGTTTGATACTTTCAATGGCTGAAACCAAACGGAATTTAAGTGATATTGAATCAAATAATGATAGAAGAAAGAAGATACGAAGTAAGTTATATTCATTGATTTATCTTTTATTAACCATTAATGAATCCATTTTATTTCCTTTTCTTAGCAAATAATAAGAAACGGTAATTGACACAATTGTTTTTCTTGAAGTTTTCTAATTGTTAAGAATATTTTTAAAATCTAATATAGAATACATAGATCATCCTTCGAAGATTTATCGAACGAAATTGTGTATGAAATTCTGGATTTTCTTGATGGATGTGATGCACATGAAGCATTTTCAAATTTGAATGCCCGTTTCAATCGTATTGTCCATTGTCCATCTCGTCTTCTCAAGATTAATCTTTCGTTTACATCTAAATCGATATTCGAATATCGATGTAAAAAAATAATTTCGGAAAATATCGATCACATCGTTTCACTTCATTTATCAAGTGAACTTAGTATTCATCTCTTTCTCATCTCTTTCTCAATCGATTCGTTCATTCGTCTTGAATCACTCGTCCTCAATCAAATCAAGTCAGATGAACTTGAATCTCTTTTTGCTTGTTTGATTTTACTTCCTCGTCTCTTCTCTTTATCTATCGATGTTATTGACACTATGAAAAACGAAGATCTTATCTTCGGTCTAATCTTTCAACTACCTGTGTTGGAATATATTAATTGTAGGACTCGGACTAGACCTTTACTTCGATGTCCCTATCTTCGTCACATTCCAAATCATATTATTGGGCAACAAAACAATACAATCAAATATCTGGTCACTAATCATTATTGCAATCTTGATCAACTTGGTCCTCGCTCGTATATGCCTAAACTTCGTCGTTTATCATGTAGTTTTGGCAGGAAGGTCGCAAATATACCAAAAGATATGCCGATGATTCCGTCCGATTTGACACACATCTGTCTCACAGAAGCTTGTTATTTACCATTTGATCAGTTCGAATTATTTATTTCAAAATTATGTCCTCGAGTAGAAATGTTACGTATTAATATACTTGATGACAAGAATTATCTCGATGCTGAACGTTGGCAATGTTTAATTGTACAGCATATGGGTCATTTAAGGACATTTGACTTTCAACATAGATGCGTGATAGCATCGGATGATTATCAATATAATACATATCATGCAATTATTGATAGATTTTCCTCTCCATTTTGGCTCGAACATCAATGGTATTTTGCCCATCAACATTCCGGTTGTTCAAAGCATCGTTATGGCAGATTTTATTCAATTCAACCATACAGGTACCGAAAGAAGCTTTCTTTAATTGTTTCATTCATTTCTTCTATCATAAGGTATAAATACCATATGTCGCCATTTGAAAACGACTACATATGTCCATATCGAGATAGTAGACTCAATATGGCTCGTCAGGTCATCATTGAAAGCTATCAATCTCTCATTCATTGCTTACTTAGATTTCCACGTGCAACTAAGTTCACTTTCGAGGATAGAGATAACGAAGACAATTATTTGCCTATTACCGATCTCAATCGTATTGTTTTTTTGGCACATCTTAATCAATTAGTTATTGGCTGGAGAAATCTGGAATCTGTTCAGTTGCTTGAACTTCTTCGTCATGCATTCAATGTTCATTCACTGGAACTCATTTGGTTCTCCCATCTACAAATACCATCTTTATCTTCCAAACAAGTTGATAATGATCATGCGATATCTAACAGAAACAATGTTGTTCAATTGATCATTCGATCGAAATCCACTCTGCAACAGCTTCACGTTCTCATGAGCATTTTTTCACATATCAAGCATCTTCAATTAAATATAACCTATAATGATTATCAATCGATCATCAAATTCTTATTATTGGAAAATCGAAACAACAACCGACATCTCTTCTCATTATGTCTCAACATTGGATGTGCAAACTGTGACATAGTGAAGAATGTGAAAGCATTTATCGATAATGAGAACTTACTCGACAACTATTCGATTACATTCTCGAATGATGCTGTCTATTTATGGTGGTAGAAGCTGATTTATTCAATAATGAATATTATTCTTGACTCAGAGTGATGTGTTTGTTTGATTGTATAATGCCTAATACGAATACATGAAACGAGTTTTTATTTTTGAATCTGAAAATATAGGCACGATCTAAACTTTGCAAATATTATGGAAGAAGTTGAAGATCACTGAATAAATGTAATTTTTTGAGATTTCCTTGGGAATCGAACTGAAATTCAAAGATCGATGAGTAAAGTAAGAGAGAGAAGAGAGCTCAAGTAAAAGTCTATATATGTCTAATAATGATTGCGAAACTATTGTTTCTATATAAATATCTCTACTATTTCCAAGAACTGTTTGAATTTTCTAGCAAGGTGTACTTTCTAATTTTTTTAATTAGAAATAAATTAGTCTGTACTGCTAATAGTTATCTTAATGCTGGTTATTCTTAGATGCAATGTACGTCACTTTGTTGTTCATCTATTGAATCTCGTTCTTCAAGGCAATGATGTAATGCACATGAGCGAAGCCAAAGTACAAACTACTGATAAAGCTACTAATCTGTTGTTTTTTCAAAAATCGTTCATATCAATAATAAAAAAGCTTTTTTTCCAATGATTAAAAAATTGAAAACATAGCAGTGACTCACTCACATAAAAGTTGTCAAGTGATTTTTATTGGTCTTGTATTATGTCGCACGTAGCTATTGTCGAAGGAAAAAAGCTTACGTTTATATTGTAGTCGATACTATCAAAGGGTTTCGAGTTTGTGCCCAGGATAAGAACCTTTTTAGCTTTTGTAGCTCCATTGGAACATTTTTTGCCGTTTTTAGGGTTCGATAATAATACACCTATTTTTTTAGAGTGTACGAGGTCCTCATCATCAAATACTTTTTACATTCTTATTTTAGATTGGATCATTGTTTTTCCTATGCCCAATGTTCATGTGATACCAGGGTTGCCAAATCTTCTGATTTGAGCAGAGAACTCCTGATTTTTTATCTTTTCTTCTGATAAGAAATCTCCTGATTTCAGGAGCTGATTTTTATGATTTTTTCCTAATTTCTCCTGATTTATAGTTTTGTTTCTAGTTGACTAAAGCAGAAACCAGTGAATTAGATATGATCTCATATAGATTTACTAGACATTGTACGTACACCTAACTTACAAAAGCTACTGTAGTTAAAGTGCGCTTTTCTCATTTCTGCTTCAAGTGAATTTCGTGAAACAGCTTTTAGCGACGTGAGGTATAATCGAGCAACCACAGACATACAATGAAACATGATTTTCTATCAGCTGAACTGAAATTTAAAATGGAAACATATCACACTAGTACATAGTTTTATGATTATTTCCTACGTAAACCTTATCCATTGAAACAATTATGTTGATCAAATAACTAAGTCATTTTTTAAAAGTACGACGAATTGCTCAGTAAAAAGCTCTTATCATACTTGTTGCTTGATATCTTGATTCATATTCATTAATGAGTTAATTTCATTTTTCAATATTGTGCACTTTAATAAATGATTGTGAAATAACTATTAAACCTCTCCGCTTAAAAAACTCGAGATCTTCTAATATGCTGCAGCGTACACTCCCTTAAGGCATCTTTCTATTATGATACACATTTTCCATAGGTTTCAATGCAAGATATTTTGACAAAGCTCCCTGATTTACCAGACTTTTTCGGGTCTATTCAGAGTTTTTTCAGGATTTCTAGCTTTTGTTTGATAAAAAATCTCCTAAAAATAGACTGTTTTAACTGAAAAGTATTGACAACTGATGTAACAATTTTTAACTGTTACATAAAATTAAGTACATCTTCTATGACGTCCTTCATATCAAATCCTCCATTAGTCTTCTAATATGAAAAAGTCTTCTGTTAAAGAAGGAGTTTAATATAAAATATATCGGATTATCACGTTTTTTTTAATTTTAATTCAGATGAAAGGAAATTTTTCACTATAAGCTTGATATACAAAAGAGAAAATTGCTTATGTAAGCAAAAGATTGAATTTTCTTTGTGTAAAACTATGTAGACAGCTCTCAGACATCAAGTAAAAGTCTCCGGATTTTTTTCCTGATTTCTTAAATTTGAATTTGGTAAGCCTGTGTGATACATACATATGCATATATAGTGAAATGATGATGATGGCTTATTTTCAATCGTTACTAATTGTTCAATTTTTAATGTTCAATTTTAAAAAGAAAATTAATTCAACAGAGAATTGATTTAATTGAAAATGAGAACAGTACATTGGCTCTGTTGCCACTCTGTGTCCATGCCATTATACTATAGAATGTTCATCGGTTCATTTTCATATATGTTTTAGATAATATGACTTCTTCGTTAAATACTATCTCATTTCTTCCTTCACAAAGAAAGCCGGCGCTATTGATGAACGGGTATATATATATATAAACTGAACAAAACTATAAGTACAACAAAATATTGTCGTTGTGAAGATCTCATTGCACTGTTACTCTACATACAAATATAAATGATGCTTATTTAAAAAGTAATGGTGATCATGACTGATATTTATATTATCTGATTTATATTATAATTTATTTTCGTATTTTATTCCCTTCTTTTTCTGCATAGAATAAAACTTTCTATCATGATTACAAATCAGACTACTAATATCCTTGTTTCTCTCTCCTTGCAACATCTGTTCTCTTGACCGTTATATATCTATTTTTTGTTCTACATATATTTGCATTTCAAG